CTATCTATCTATCTATCTATCTATCTATCTATCTATCTATCTATCTATCACCAGCTAAACCATTTTTAACCAAAGTGCCTCCTCTTCAGCAGGGGGAGATGTTACAGCGTCGAGTCCGCCAGACGGTTTTAATCTGGTCAGACGAAGAAGAAACAAACCGCGTCACAGTTCAAAACAATACTTGGAAGTTCCGCTTGTCTCGCGCCCTGTCCTTATGAAGATGTCTCATAATAGCTCAGCCAAAGACGACCAAGCGTCGGGCAGCAAAAAGCCGATCTCTCTACCGATATCCAGGGTGAGGCTGATCATGAAGAGCTCCCCTGATGTCTCCAGCATCAACCAGGACGCTCTTTTCCTCACCACCAAAGCTACAGTAAGCTAAACATCATCCGCAGCTCATTCATTTGCTAACACTTTTAGCACCGTTAGCTTGTCTAGGGCATGTGAGCTGAAGCAGCGCGTTTGTGTGTGTCTCCTGTTGTTATTGTTTTAGGAGCTGTTTGTACAACACCTGGCTCTATCCTCCTTCAACAACGGCTCAGGGAAGGAAACAAACACCCTGTCGTACAGCGACCTGGCCAACACCGCTCAGGAGGCGGACACTTTCCACTTTCTCACAGGTGAGAGGCACCTGCAGGCACCTCGGCGGTCCTATGATGCACCAGCTGGTTACAGATTATACCTCAGACTGCACAGAGTCCAGATTGTTAGAAACAGTGAATTAATACCTCTCCCGTTGCTCTACGCACTGACTCACACAACGTCCGAATAAAAGTCAGCACAAAATCGATTAATTTCCTGTTTCACACGATGTCTGAACCTACCTGCAGTGGCCTCACCCACAGTCTAAGAACTACTGTAATGATAACTGATCAGACTTTGGATTATTAAAGTGTTTAAGGTAGTTACATAACCCAGCATCAGCAAGTGTAGATAAATGGGAAACTGTGGTTCCGTTGTGGTTGTGTGTTTCCAGTTTCACGGGATTTATGCTTCTGTTTCAAATCTACACCATAGAAACGCCACCCTGAACATGTAACAGCTGTTCAATCACGTTATTGTCTCCCCTAAATAATTGTATTTTGTGCACCTCTCAGGGCCATTGTAAGGGACAAATATGTATGTCTCCAAAAAGAAAAACAAAAACAGAAAATAACTGACCGCAACAAAAAAGGAAGAAAAATATTTCTGTCATAGATGGTACTGCATATAAAACACTGGGACATCACCCTCAAGTAATAAACACATAAAACACCACAAAAGCATCAAGACTGGTAACAGCGTCAGCCACTTAAGTACATTACCCTGTAGGCTCGACAAAAATTCATCACAGAAGTCTAAAGGGCAAACTGTGGTTGAGCTGAGGTAGTATATTTGCAGTCCACTGGCAGCTTCAAACTACCTGCCTACCTGCAGAGAGCATCTGCTGTCAGATGCATCAAAAACATGTCATGTAACTGTTCTGTGGGTCTTTCTTGTGCTGCTGATGGTCCATCACCTGGCTGTGGAAAAGAGCAAAGTTATAACATACAAAAACCCAAAGAGAAACTGGGTGTTAAAAGCAATCAAAAGCGTCAATTTCAGACATTGTCTGTGCTTTTTATTCTGTATTTTTGATGTTTTTTTCCCCCCTCATGCTTCTCCCGCTCCTGGCCGGCCTGTTAGCATGTGACCCTTGCAAAGCGAGCATTGGTTGACAGCCCTTGTCTGTAGGATCTCTATGGTCAAATACCACAACAAACGGACACAATTCCATAAATTAAGCACAAGCAGGAGGAGTACATCAGGAACGGCATCTGATAAAACATTTGTGCCAAATCAAACACGCAGATCAATCCACTATGGTTATCCCTTAGGAAATAAGGGAGCAGCTCACAGTACCTCCACCAGCTGAACACAAGAAGACCAGATTAATCGATGAATTTAAAAAAATAATTAAATTAACTGATTAAGAAAAGAATAAGTATTAGAAACACTGCTTGGTATAATGTAGTATAAACAAAAAGGCTCTAAAATCGCCATAAAACAAAAACTAATTTTAAGAGTTTTAACAAAAATCTAAAGTTGTAACCTTCATGAAAGGATGAGTTAGTTTAGCCAGCTTTACTTTAAGGATTATTTGAAGTAGCACTGTTTTTAAGTCTCTCAGGCACTGCTTTAACCCTTAAACACCATCAATAAGACTTTTATCTCTCTCATAACTTCATTTTATCTCCTGTGGTGTTTTTGGGTCTGTATCCAAACAGCTCACACTCACTCCTTTGTTACTTTTGAACGTCGGGCTGTCTGAATCCAGCAATTCAGGGGGTTTAAGGTGGAAATGCTCGGGCATGTTGCTGCTCGTTTTGCCTGTGATATCTGCGGTACTTCTGGCTGCTCGATTGTTTTGGGAGAGGTCACCAGAGCGTGCATGTTTGGTTTGGCACAGAATTACACTGGCTGCCCTTCCTGATGGTTTCCTTCTAGCCATTTATCCAGGCTGGGGGCAGAGACTAGGTATCCACCGGATTGTGTCCCATTCTGTCGAGGCTTTTTAAGGCGAACATGTTAACCACTACATCGTGGAGCCACTTGTGCTCAGCATGCGTCTTCTGGACATATGATTATGTCAAGGTTTTAAAAATGGCTTTTCTGTAAAAACATTTTGTAAACAGTTTGTTATAATCTATATAAAGTGAAATATCAGATGAATTTTAAATATACAGAAGCTTAAACGTTAATGTGAAAGTAGATTTTAGTGCAGCTGTGCAGTGTGTCAACTTTTTGACAGCCAAGTTTAAAACCATTTGAGTCTTCCTAATACTCTTGAGTTAATATCACTCACTGACCTGCAACAAAAAATGAGATCTTTTCCTTCAACTATGCATTTTTACAAATTTTTTGCTTTTTTTCCTGGACAGATATTCTGCCTAAGAAGATCTTGGCTCAAGATTACCTCAACTCTTTGGAGCAAATGCAAGAAGAAGAAGGAGCTGATTACTGAAACAGGAGGATGGTCCACATTTCCCATCTGGACAGATGTTATCGCATCTACTTTTCCAGCCTGTCGCCGAAAGCAAAGTGACCGTCAGTAAAAGACACTTGAACTCTCGAGTTCATCTTCAGGGCTTTTGTAAAAAGTTAGAGGACGTGGAGCTAAACGCAAACTCACACGGGATCAATGTGAAATCAAGTGAAGACTCAAATTTCAAACTCCCCCCAACAGTAAATGAAGTTCAGCGACCCTTTTCTGCAAACTGACAGATATATTTTGTGTGAGCTAAAGTACTGTCATTACTAATAAATGATGCAAACAGGAGTTCAGAACAAGTTTGCATATAAGCTTGTGTACTTAGACTGTTTATGGAGGTTCCCGGGTAGCACTGACTTAATTGGGCTGCTTGATTTGCGTGCACCGTTATCGGAAAAGTTTCTGCGTAACTGGCCAGTACGGACTTGTTCCACGTGAGCCAAGACATGGGAATCCAGCCCACGCAGCTGGAGCGCAGACGTCTTAGCTTCTGTGTTACTGTTGGCTTAAAAAAAAATAAGTGGGTGAAAACATTATTTTAAAGGTGCTGTGAAACATTGATCTCAAACTCAGATGTGCTGTTGCTACTGTTAACCATATATTCGTGTTGTGATTTGACTGTCAAGAACTTGAAATTTACTAGAAGTGGAAAAACTACAAAACAACTGAACATGCTCTGAAGTTCAAAATAAAATCTCAGACTCTAACAGATGTAAATATTTAAAGTGTTTCAGCTTAGTCGGCATATCGCCCTCTGTGTATTTACAAATGTGTGGTTTAGATTTGATATTAAAATAAAAATTCATGCTGTCTTGTTTTGCACTGAATCTTTTTTTTTTTTTTTTTTAAATACCAGTTTATGAATTTGGTGTGTTAAACCACTCGCGTACTCTCCTCTGAGCTCCTCGTGTTTCCGGCAGTTTAGAGGTTTAATGTGACCATGAAATCTTCATACCTTTGCAAACAGGTAATATAGAGCCATGGTAAGATTTACGATTTTTATTTGACCTATTGTACTGTGTCATCATTTCTTTAACAAAAACTAAACCAGAATACATAAGCAGCATGTTTTAAAGAAAAAGAAGTCCATAAAACTAAAGTGCACCCCATGATTTAGCAGCTTGTCGAACCACCTTTAGCAGGAACTAATCGTTTTCTGTATGACTGTCAATCTCTCATATCGGTATGGAGGAAGTTTGACCCACTCTTCTTTAAAACATTGCGTTGGTTCATTGAAGTTTGCAAAGACTCATTTATGCACAGCTCTCACAGCATTTCACTAATGCTGAGGTCCAAACTTTGTGCCTCTGCAGCACCTTGATTCTTGATTCTGCTCAACCCCCAAAGTGTTCCAGAGTCCAAATTCCCAAATAGCTCCACTTTGGTCTTGTCTGTCCAAAGATATCCTTTCAGACGTTATGCAAACCTAAGGCATGCTGCCATTTTCTTTTTAGAGAGAAAGGGTTTTTTCCTGGCAAACCTTCCAATAAACACCACACATGTTCAGGCTTTGTCTAATTGTACTGTCGTGAACTTAAACATTTAACATGCTGAGTGAGGCCTGTAGAGTGTGAGATGAAGCTCTTGGGTCTTTTGCAGTTTCTCTGAGAACTGACTTTGGAGTGAATTCACTGGGACGTCCACGCCTGGAACGACTGGCAACTGTCTTGAACGTTTTCCATTTGTGAATAATCTTTCTTACTGAAGAGTGATGGTATTCAGATTTTTTGAAAATGACCTTATAACCCTTCCCAGAATAATTGGCAGCAGCAGTCGCTTCTGTTGCTGATGTATTACCTCCTTGGCATTGTGTAAACACGCACTTGAACACTTCAGACCACCATAAACGTCTTCTTTTATAGAGGTTCTCACACATGCTGTTACTATTCCTATTAATTCCTATGGAAGCAATAAGAGTGTCCTTAGTTATTTTTATGCAATGTTTTTGCAGTATAGGTTAATTTCTATTAAATAAACAGTAATGTGGTGTAATGTGTTTATTTTAAGAAATGCTACAATGTTCATTTTGTTCTGTTATGTCAAACGTTGACTGTAAAACTAGACTTTACAACTCTGTTCATCAGAACTCCAAGAAAATGTGACATTTATTCATTTCTGCTGATTCTTGGTTACACGTTTTATTTTGGCAGGCGAGCTGGTGACATAATAAGGTGCAAATCAAGTGTGTTTTGTTCTCATTACAAACCACACTCATCCTGAGCATGCATGCATGGACTACATCGTTATGAGACATTCATATCATATAAATACAGTTCAAATAAGGGGTTTCCAGCATCGTCAGTGATGGATGAGTTTTCTAAGTCGAAGCTGTACATTGAGAAGCGTCGCCTCCAAAGTGGAAAACTTCTCCTCCAGGTGGTTAGCCATGTGGTCTCTGCCTTCGAGAGCATCCCTCGTATTTGCGAGATGCTCCTTCATGCTGCATGGGATGAAAAATCACAAGCAAACACGACAAGAAGTCAAATTTGAACAATTGCCTCAAATGCTCACATCTAATAGAGCCGAATGTCCAAACTTTCAATTTATATTTGTGCCAGAGCCTCGTCTCAACCAGATGTCCAGACAGATGTGTGCAGGGAAATACTGGAAATGACTCAGATTGGCTGGAAGCTGTTTTCACTCAGCATGTTAAGCAGTTAAACACTGGTCCAGGGTTTCCCAGAACCTCACTAATAATAATTTAGGACAAACCCCCAACAACTGGCCTTGGATCACTTTTTGGATCCAAGCCCAGCTGGAAATATAGCTGCTTTACTTCTTTACTATGTGGCTCAAAGTTGCATCTAATCTGTAGTAAGTACAGTAGAGGAAGTCTGTCTATAAATATGCCAAAACCCTGATTAAAGCACCAGATTTTGCATCATTAAAGAAGAAATCAGGGGATAAGCATTAATTTTCTCTGCATGAAACCAAGTACTGCACTGCATTTTAAAATGAGCAATGGAAGACATCATGGCGTGGTTTCACAAGAGCAAGAAAAAGGGGAAAAAAAGAAAGAAAACTGCGGATAACAAAGACAGATGGATACCAATATTTGGACCAGACCGGACAGTCTCCCACAGAAGCTATGATTCTTTCCGGCAGATTTTTTTCTTAAGTATTTTTATTCATTTTTAGCCCTGATTGAGGTTGTCATAATTCATGCATGACACGGTTAAATAACAATAATTGATTAATAATTATTAATGGAGTGACACATCAGTGTCCGATGTAGTGGTTTATGCGCAAGTACTGACACAAATACAAGAAAACAGCCTTTGAATAGCTGTCCAATGTAGTGACCACCTTACCTGAAAGGGTTAAAACTCTGTTTCTTGATGCCACTGTTTATTTTGTTTATTGATGCCATATTATTTCTATGTAGCATTAATATCACTTTGACTTTCAGATCAATCCATAGACCTTGAGGGAAAGGTCAGAGGCCAACTATGATGTGTTTTAAATCATTATACAGTACTTTCTATATATTGACAACACACTGCCCACTTAGAATCATAGCTTCTAAATTATAAGGCTTTTTGTCAGTTTTTGACCAATAAATCATTAAATTGACATTGAAGACTCAGTAGATGTAAATTTTAATTCATGGGGTGTGACATGACCCCACTCTAAACCTACAGAGTATTCATTTAAAACTTTAATAACATATAATAATATATAGCCTATTTTATAGTATTCACCTCTCCACCCACCCGCTGATCTCAGGTTATTCCTCCTGAATTCTCCACTGTTATTGTTTCTTACCTTGTAAAGACACCCCGCTCCTTGCCCTCTTTCCTCTTCTCTGCCAGAGAGACAAACACGGTCTCCACGCTTTGTATAGTTTCGGTCACTTTCTGGTGGTCTGATCGGATTCCCTGGACCTCCTCTCTAGCTTGGTGGTCGTAGGACAGCCCTCCCTCCTCCACCCCGCTGGAGGTGGACACCGCCTGCAGGGCGGCCCTGTTCTGCAAAACAAGCAGACGAGACCTGGCAAACTCTTTGGGTCCTGCTATGTTTTCCCAGCAGATTGGAGATGATGGAGGGAGCCAGAAGCGCTGCGTGCAGTTGACTGGCTTTTCTGAAGACTCTGTTGTGAAGGGGCTGTCAGCAGGGAAGCTGTGGAGCAGGTGCAGAAGAGACGATCCAGAGCCCCACTCCCAGTCCTCGAAATCCGACTCCCCTGACCCTTGCTCAGGGGGGAAACTAGGAGGAGGACTTGCTGGTCCTCCATCCTCTGCTGGAGAACAGATCCCCAACAGGAGACAGAAGGACAGGAAGAGCCAAGCCCTGCTAACTGTCCCCTGGAGCATCTCCAAACTGGCTGCATCAACAAGAAAAAGACTTAGACACACAGGAATCACCAAAGAAAATCCATTCACTGTGTTTATTATCAAGTATTCCCATCTTAAGCTTCCTGTACAAGAGAAAACTACTGTGTGAAGGGCAAGAAATTTCTACTGATCAATAGAAATATGAAAAATAACACTTAGACCTCTTGATTGCATGCATTCAATGACATAACATTCAAAATAAAAGCATGACGTTTATTATGTTAAGTTCAATAACAAATAAGCTTAAATAAATTACTTAATAAATTACACAAAATAAATCCAGTACAAAACCAGAGAACATACATTTGTGTTTTTTCTCCTGCAGTTTAACCGGAAATTTGCCTCAGTTTGGTAGCGTCATAGTTGGCAGCAAATCAAAACTGCAAACGCATCACTGAAGGAAATCCTGAACTCCAGATCACCGCGATGTTTTTTTTGTTGTTTTGTTTTACGGATGTGATGCGAATTTTCATTCTAAGATGACTTTTGTTCAGCGGTCTTACCTTACAGAGAGAGCACAGAGCAGTCTCTGTTTGTGCGTAGCGGCGCTCCTCTGGTGCCTGCAGCCGTCGGAAAAAATGAGTCGTTCACTGAAGACTGTTACATGCAATCTGAATCACTTTTACTGGCCCGGTAACAGCAGAATCAGGAGCTTGGATTTTCCCTCAGTGGAAGGGGATGGGATGGGAGATTGTAAAATGCATGTGAGGTGTGGGTTACAGTAAAAGCTCCCTGCTGGAGGGAGAGAGTGCCATTCTCTGGATCGTATCCCTGATTTGAAGTGTATTTATTTCTTTGTGAGCTTCATTTTCTGTGCTCATTTGTGCTTTTTTTTTTGGTTTTTAGAAGTGAAGACTTTTTAATTTGAGTGGCAGGGGGAGAAGGAGGTGCGATGCTCTGGGTATTTATGAGCCATTTACAACATCCAAAACAGCTACAGCAAAACGCTCGAATTAAAACACCAAATCTGCTTCTTAAACTTGCTGGTCTGAAACCATCCCTGAGTTACATTTGAACACGATGGTGTCCTGCAGTTACTGGGGAGAAAAGAGTTTCAAAAAGTACCCAGACTGTCCATGAGCTCAAAACTCATGCAGAGCATCTGTAGTTATTTAGCGAGTTTTTTGAATGACCAGAGAGTGGATCCACACAGCCGGAGGCTTTCACCCTGACATAAGCTGCAAGGAATGGGACACATTTTGGCACAAACAAGCCAGGGTTTTGCAATTTAAGGGGAATGACGAGCAGTTTTCTGAAAACAAACACTAAATTTAAGGATGAATTGTAAAACATAAAAAGGGTGGGACTTAAAAACATTACACCACCACGAGATTCTGTTTATGCAATAAATCACTGGTTTGGCTTAAGTGTGCCTCCTGCCTCGCAAAGTAACGTTTTAAAGGTATTCACTGGTTATTTTAGAAAATAACATGACAATAATAAGAAGTCGAATAAAATTAAAATATGAATTCCAATTTATTTACATGGTTCAATAACACTTCATTTATTTGATCTGTTTGTAAGAGTTGACTACTTTTATAGTAATTTTGTATCTTTATGCTGTTGTCGTCACCAGAAAGTGACCTAATGTGACTTTGACCTTATTTTAAAAAACAACGTTAATATTCTCTTGATGCAGCAAAGCACACGGGTGTGGAAAGATTTCACTTTATGAGCATGTGTGCTGGAAAATATTGTGATTCACTTTTAATTTTTCTTTTTAGTGAGAGAAAAGCTTAAATTTTACAACTGCAATTCTGAAAAAAATTGGGATGCTGGAAAACATGTCGTCAGATGTTTAAACTGAGAAAGTGTATCTTTTTCAGTCAAACTGAAAAAGGAGTGCTGTAGTATGAACAATCGGCTCTATGAAGGCCATCTGTGTGGTTCACAGATTTGTATAATTGTGTCCAAATGTTGTGAATACAGTGAAAAGCGAAGTCCAAAACTGACTCTGAAATAAAGAGAAATCTGACTCACAATACTTTGAAAATCCTGGCAAAAGCCCTGATCACTTGTATGTTTACCCCCTATTTTGGGTGGTTGTTATATCTGAGGCTATTACATGCCCAGAGTTTTTTTCTTTTGTCATTCATACTACACTAAAGTAACAGATACACAAAAATACAGACATTTCTAAAAAAATAATAAAAAAATTATGTTTTATTAGTTATGACTTACTCTCCTGTAGTTGCAATTGCAGGACAGTCTGAGCAGTGAGCTATCAGAACCTTTTCCTGCAGGTTTGTAGTTTTCTGTAATGATTTCTTTCATTGACTACATCAGCATTCCTTTATCATGTACAATCCTGTACTGAGACTTACCATTATAACTGCACTTCTTATTCTTATATTAAATGGGATTAAAAGTGCAGTTAACCATATTTACACTGGGAGAAAACGGGAGGTATGCTTAACAGTTACTTAGTTTTGGTACTCGTGGTCCTCCATATTGTAAAATGAGTTTGCCACCCCTGGTCTACATAAAAAACACAACACAGCGGGACTTTGCTGAGTGAACCTGACACCACAGCCGTGTATAAATAGTAAAATATGGGGCGAGCGTGCTCTGACTGCACTGCCCCGGACCTCAGTAATCCCACAGTGACATCTAGTGGCAACAGCCGTGAGTTGCTGCTTTTTCTTGTCCCACCATTTAAATTCCCAAACTTTATCGTCGCGTTTGGATTTCAGTCATGTCGTTATTATTCTTAGGCTTAAATATGAATAAATATGTATTAAATGGAGTATTAAATGGAAAACGCTTTTTAAATCAATGCAGTTTATCAGGAAAAAATAAAAAAATTCCTTCAGTGTGCACCAGCATGAACTCTGCCCATGCCCGGGGCCATATCTGAGAGGGGCGGGGACCACCGCGGAGCTCCTCCCCTCTCCAGGCTTCCGTCAGCGGGGCTGCTGCTGCTGCTGCTGGACCGGAGCGAGTCGGCACCAACAACCAGCCGCTGGCTGCTCCTCCGTGCTGAGGGAAAACTCGGTGCAGCCAGGAGCCACCCCGTCATTTCTCACGGTCAACGACATGGCCTCCGACGGCATGGACGAGCGATCTCCGCTGCTGTCGGGCCCCAACTCCGAGAATGTGACCCCAACAGCTCCCCCGTACCTGCAGGATTCAAGTCCCCGAGGTAAACACGCCACACGCAGCACCCCGCCGCCTGCATGCTGAATCATTTTCAGGGCGTATCGAGTTTGTGTGAGTGCGTAAATAAAGCTGCAGCAAGGCGAGGCAAGGGCATCGCTGGGAAATCAGTCGGCAGCTGACTGAAAGGTGGAGCTTGCACTGTGAGAACTGGAGCAGTGGGTTATAGAGGAGAGGGGCCTGCGATAATACCAGCAGTACCATCAAACAGTGTTTTCAGTGCAGAGATTTCTACATCACGATTCACTGGGGCCTGCCGTGATTTTGTCCAGCAAAAAAAAAAAAAAGAAAGAAAGAAAGAAAGAAGGTATGAGCTGAAGCTCTGCAAAGCCTCAGTAGATTTTGGGTTGAGTGTTGACGTGGGAGCACTGAGGCATTGCAGATGGAGGCAGGCGAAGCATCCTTTTGTCCAGCTGCAGATCAACAAAAGCACCCACAGGTGTGCCCTTTATGGGAGAAATAATGCAGCACGAGTTAAATGTCGTGTTCTCCTGTTTTTAATGATTGTGAGTTTTGCTCGTTTGCATGGTGAATGCACTGTAAGCGACGAGCTTGAGCCTTCTTGCATGATTTGCAGCTTTCATACAGCAGAAAACATAAACATGTAGGTTACAGCCCACAGTGCTTATTCTCAGGACTGGCAGCAGCTGTCTGCACTGACCTTTGCTCTGAATATAATCTCCTCAAATTCTCAATATATTCTTCTCCACAAGAAGAAAGACGAAGCAAAGTGCCTGTGGGAGCTGCAGAAATGCATGATCTCACAAAGAGCCCTCCTTGTGTTTTGCTGGCATTAAATATTGATTCAGGCTGTACTTTGACTTCAGTTCACATTCTCTTGTTTGAGGATTAGATTTTGAGTGCTACTTTCAGTAGTATTTGACCTTTTTTCCTGTTTCTGCTTCTACGTTTTTGTCAGCAGCCTGACAGAAACAACGTTTCTTTGCTTTGCAGCAGCTCGGGATGGTCGGCAGCAAATGAATGGACTCATTGACCGTGTAAATCAGTTTAAGGAGCATTTCAGGCCAATTTCAAACAAACAGAGGAGAGAGAGAAGTGCTTGTTGTTCTCGAGAAGTCTAATCCCACAGAATTCATATTTCACCACGGGATTAAACTCTTAATGCTGGACTGTAATAATCTAAGACGCAAGAGCCTGGCTGGATGCTAACACAGTGACACAGTTTCTCCCCCCTCCCTCTCTGCAGACTGGATTATTGGCTAATTCCAGTTTGGGTTTGTAAAATGAATTACTTTGATCCTAAAATGCCAAAACTGTGACATTTCCCAGAAACACAATGACTGTGACGCTGCTTTGACTAATGAGCAGCTGCATTAAGGCACTAAAGTGAGCTGTGGCTTGAATTTAAATTTTAGGATATCCATGTAATACTTGTTGTGTTCACTGGAATTATTCTGTAGTAGCAGGTAGAAATTCAGTGGTTCCTGCTTGTTGTTTTTTTTATTTTTTATTTTGCCCTAAAATAATCAGAGAAAAACAAGCGAGTCTGCCTCGTTTAAAATGAAGCTTTACCAGCTTCACATTATCAGGACTAATTAGTCTAAGGTGAAGTCATGAAACGTCAATATTTTAACAGGTTTCTTTATATGAAGAGATCCAGTTACCCTGCTATTACAATACCGAAATAGAAAGGTCTGATTCTTCTTGTTAGCAACTCATGGTCACTTTAACAGGTACACCTGTTCAACCGTTCATTAATGCAAATATCTAATCAGCCAGTTGCATGGCACTAACTCGGTGCATTGATGCATGAAGACGACTAACTGAGAATCAAACTGGAGAAGAAAGGTGCTTTAAGTGACTTTGAATGTGGCGTTGTTGTTGGAGTCAGACGAGCTGGTTTGAGTATTTCAGAAACTGCTCATCTACTGAGATTTTCCCCACACAACCGTCTATACAGTTTACAGAGATTTGTCAGAAAGTGAGAACAAATCCTGATCCGATAGAACGTCAATAGCAACTGAAAAAAGCAAACGACCAAGATATGGAGAACAGGATCTCTGAGTGCAGAACATTTTGAACCTTGAAGCAGATGAGCTACAGCAGCAGAAGATCACCCCAAGTGAGGCTCCTGTCAGCTAATAACAGGAAACTGAGACTACAGTTCACACAAGCTCACCAAACCTGGACAACAGAAGACTGGAAGACTTGTGTGATGAGACTTGATGTTAGATGGTAAGGTTACTGACCACATCCATCGCTTTATGACCGCAGTGTACCCAGCCTCAGATTGTTGCTTCCAGCAGCCATAAACAGGTTTTTTTGAACATGACAGTGAGTTCACTGTGCAGGCGACAGATTTGCAGCAACTGTGTGATGCCATCATGTCAATATGGGCATTACACCATGGAGAAAGCACCTTGTTGAAGCCATGAAGCAATAAGGAAGCTCTGAAGGCAAAAAAAAAGGGGTCCCATAAAATCCCGGAAAGGTGTACCTAATAAAGTGTCTGGCAAGTGTATATAAATTCAGTTACATTAGTATGAAAAATCAGTTAATTTACTTTCTCACTAAAAAAACATTGTTATCTTGTTTTGTTTTGTTAGTAGTAGAAACTCTCAGTGTTTTATTTATCATGAAAACACAAAGTTAAAAATATTAACTTGCTGACTCCATCATTAAAGAGCTGCCTCCAAACAGAGAGCAGCTACCGTGTGGAAGCGGGTGGGTTACAAGAACATGTGACTTAATATGACCAATGACGAGTCTTTATCACAGGTCAGTGGAAGAGAAAAAGTAATTCAGTCTAGTTAAAATAAATCAGTTATCAGTCACGGATTTGCAAAACCAATTCCCACCGAACCCAATGCCCTGTCTGACTGATTAACACTAATCAGATGAGTGGAGGAGCTTTATTGATATCTGGCTGAACTGTTCATAGGTGGAAGCTGAGATGACTGAGGCAAAGAACTGCCCAGCCTGGAAAGACTCCTCCATGAATAAAGAGATCAGCTGTCGAGACATGCTGTCCTTTAGTAAATGAACACAACAGGAGACACGGTACAATAACATTGATCTTAACATGATAAAAGCTGACTTATCATCTGAATCAGAGCAGCACTTTATTAGAAGAAAACCCAAACCAGTGTGCTTATACACAACCAAGATGTTTAGATTAATAATGTATTGTAATAGTGTAAAACATAGATGTAATTAAGGCACATTGTTTGCAATTTTTATACTGTGTCTTACACACATGCACTAAATGTCTACTAACGTAGCTGCTTTGGGAGATAACTAGATTTTCTTTCAAATTAACTCTCAAATTTGTGGCTAGATCTTAAAGACTTCAGATTAAATCTAAAATGTTGGCTGTAGTGAGGGATGGGCAGACGCATTGTTGTGTCGGTAAAAGGAAAACTGTAGTATTATTTTAAGATTAAAGAGATAATTTTTTCTTGCCACACAGAAAGGTCTCCAGAGCTGCTGGTGTCTGAATACCAGATGTTCAGCTTGGCATTCTGTCCCACAAACCACAAGTGAAGTCATCGAGTCAATACCCTTAAAGCAGGACTATGTTGTGGTGTTGGTGGTGGTTGCAGCAGAGTCTTCTCGTCTTTCCTCTGGCTCCTCGTGAAAACCTATAGCTGCTGTCTTCAGTGTCAGACGTGCATTAAGACACACAAAGCAGCAAGAGGAGGAGAAACAGGCCTGAGACGAAGTCGGGGTGGATACTAACACGGCAGAAATTTAGATTTAATCCTAAGGTGTTGTGGAATAATAAAAAATATTCTCCATCTGGTCGCACTGTGTTACATTTTAGATTAACAAAGCGTAGTAGAGGAGGATTCACTTAGCTTTGTTGTGTAATAAGAGCCACTCTGCTGCCTGAAACTCAGTGGGAGTGTCCAGTCTTGGCATGCTCGCGTCGTAGTCGTAGCCAAGTTCGCCCAAATGTAGACGGGTGTCCCATCTGTCCCTGTGGTGTCAACCGGTTCAGAGTCTCTAAATGTCGGAGCCAAGCACGTTTACCCACCGACCCATGCCATTATCTCATTCAGGGCGAGATTAGATTCTAATAATTAGTCGATTGTTAGATTGGATGGCTTCTTCGTGTCACTGAGCCGTCAGTCAGGTAAATGAAGCCAAACAAAGAGACTGTATATTCTGATATAGCTGGTTAATATTTTTTTGGAAAGAAGCTTGTCATGAATCCAGAAAGCATGTTTGCGTCCTCACTTTTTCTCCGGTGCCTAAACATATTTAGCTTCCTGTCATGGAGGGGGAAGAGCAGCAGCTCTACATACCACATCTGGATTTAGGAAATGTATTTTGGCATTTTAGTTTAGAAAAATGTGAGACTGACATCTGAACGAGTATTTAAGTGTTGATCGATATAAATATGATTTCAGCTTGCCAGAGTTTAAGAATATAGATGGCGTAATTACTGTATACTCACATGTTATTTAAACCTCTGCTCCTGTTAATTAAAATTAAACTGATAGAGGTATTATGGTTAATTGTGTAACTACAGATTTTATTGGCTTTAGCTACGTTACAGACAAGCAGAATTTTAAATATGCCACAAAGCCATTGTAGTAAAGGCAGTGGCTGGTGCAAGCCTGTAGATTAAATGTTAAAACGCTGAAATACAGACTAAATACACGAGGTTAATGTGGGATTAAACAGTACAGAGGTCATTATGGTGGCCACTGTAGTCAGTTCACAGTAGGCCTTGCAGACATAAAGAGAAAATCTTGTCTGTAAATGGCAGCCAGTTTAATTTGGCGACTTATTCAACTAATTCAACAGTGGAAAATAATCTTTAACAAAAACCTTCAAGTTTAGGTGGAATTATTCAGGTACTATAAATTATTCTGTTTCCAAAGTACAAACTGGACACACAAAGCCAATTTTTTGTTCATGAAGCTGCTTTTCTCCAGATGCATGCCATTAACATCTGGCTGTGTGTTGTGTGCTTTGCCTTCCTCTTCTCAAAGCCGAACTACCTCCTCCTTACACAGCCATCGCCAGCCCCGATGCCGGCGGTGTGCCTGTCATCAACTGCCGCGTTTGCCAGTCGCTCATCAACCTGGACGGAAAGTTGCATCAGCACGTGGTCAAGTGCACTGTCTGCAATGAAGCTACAGTAAGTGGAGGCTACATCATCACAGGTGTCGACAAACTAAAACCGTAACAGTTCAACATTCGACTTTCCTCTGTATCTGTTACAGCCTAAATTCCCTGTTGAATTTTATTGTCAGGCACATTTTTGCATGAAAGAATGTTTGATTGACTTTCAGTGCTCACATTTGGACTGCTTTTTCCCCTCCTTTGCTTCTTTGCCTGCCTTTATCGCTTAAACTGATGTTGACATTCGACCAAATGAATCAGGGCCTAAGGCTGCCAGTGTGACAAGGAGTGCAGGGAGAATGAATGACTGTCATCACCAGCGCTCGGGTGGGAAATGCCATTAGCACAGCTGATATTTTTGGTCGTTATGCATCCACACGGACATCTTATATTATGCTACTCTGCACCAAAACGATGCACGGTTTAGCATCTGGCCTCGAGCTGTTGTATCTTACTGTAAATATAAAGTTAGAGAGTCACATGACCAGAACTTGATTTTAACCAGGAGTTTCTCCAAGTTTTGTTTGATTTACACAGGCAGCGCAAAAAAGTACACTTGAAATATTTGTTTTTAAGTGTGTTTGTAATGGTTTCATTCAGAGGATGGTGGTTTATGTTGGTAATTGACTGTTACAGTTGTTGACATCAGCTGCAATGTCGTTTTTAAGAGGGTTTAGTCTGCTGTGATGGCTGGATACAGAAAATCTGAAATAGAGGATAAATTCTCCCCCGAGCTCATTCTGCTCATTCTGTGTTGAAGTATAACGTGAACTGTGCATGAGCTAAATTTAAAGCAGTGCATTCTTTACTGGTTGTGCTTGTGGTGCTGCTACTGTGAGAGCCCTGGATTTAAAGTGCACCTACAATTTATTTTTTTATATTTACAATTCTTTAAGTATTCACCCCTTTCCTGAGTTCCTTTTGTTTTCACGTGTTTGTCACACTTAAATATTTGAGATCATTGTCTAATATTAAAATTTGTTCAAAGATAGCCCGAGTAAATACAAAATGCGATTTTGAAGTCATGATTATGATTTCATTTATTAAGGGGAAAAAAAAGCTATCCAGACCCACTCGACCCTGTGTGAAAAAGTACTTGTTTCTCTTGTTAAACCATGTTTTAGCTGTGATTAACAACATTATTTTGGAAAGTTGAGTTTCATTTCACTGGTCACACTCAGGCCTGATTACTGGCTGAACTGTTGAATCGAGACATAACTTAAACAGAACCTGTCTGACAAAGTGAGGCTAAAAGATCTCAAAGAACAAAAAAGAAATAAAATCATTGACATCTGTCAGTCTGGAAATGGTTATAAAGCCATTTGTAAGGCTTTTGTAAGGGACTCTAGTGAATTACAGTGAGAGCCATTATCCACAAATGGAGTCGCCGGCCTACCAAAATTTGTCCAAGAGCCCAGGGACGACTCATTCATGAGGTCTTAGAAGAACCCAGAACAACATTAAAGAGCTGCAGGCCTCACTTGCCTCAGCTAAGGTCATAGTTCATGATTCGACAATAAGAAAGATACTGGACAAAAATGGCATCGATGAGAGAGCTCATGCTGAAAAACTCTGTGGCAAAGATAAAAAAATCTGCAAAGAAGATTGGGACGAAATTCCTCCACAGCAGTGGGAAAGACTCATTGTTATCACAGACACTTGAATGCAGTTCTTGCTGCCAAGGGTGGCACAACCAGTTAGCAGGTTTATGGGACAGTTACTTTGTCACTTAGAGCCAGGTAGGTTTTGATAACTTTTCCCTTAATAAATGAATTCATCATTTAAAAACATTTTTTATACTCTCAACTTTCAGATCATAGTGGTGTCAGTGGGCCCAATAACCCTAATGTGGTCACAGCTTTGTAGCTCCATGCAAACGTGCTCAACAGGTGCAGCCAATCAGAGGAAACTTGCTTAAAGGAGTTGTACTTTACTACTGAAACCAAAACTTCTCTAAGCATAGCAGTTTTAACTCATAGTTTTTTATGTTTCTTTTAGCCCATTAAGAATCCCCCTACAGGGAAGAAGTATGTGCGGTGTCCCTGCAACTGCCTGCTCATCTGTAAAGACACATCCAGAAGGATAGGATGTCCTCGACCAAACTGGTACGGAACAAGAAGAAACATTCAGACAGTTTTACCCCACTGATGCAATAAGCCACACAGTGCTTCAAAACTGAATCTGGGGCTGTGGCAACATGTTGGCTCTGTAACAAGTCAAACAGTCGCGTAAGGTAAGGTAAAGACCAAGGAGCTTGGAAAGAAAAGCATGTGGACTTCTCTAAGTTTCTTGAGGATGTAAGAAGCTTTTCGGATGAGAGGTGAAATATCTCTTTAAAAAAACCATTAGAACGTTACATTAAAACATTAGAGGTTATCTAGGTCTTTATGCCTTTAAGAAATTCCTGCAGTTTAACTAGTTGGTGTGTGTCTTCTAGCTTCATACATGGATAAAGCTGCATATCATCTGCTAAGCACTGAAAATTTATGCTGTGCTTTCGAATGACAGTGTCCAAGGGAAGGATGTATAATGTAAAAAGAATTGATCCCAGCATGAAACTCTGTGGAACTCCATAATGAACCTTAGTATGTAAACAAGACTTGCTGATCACATGAACCAGTTGGAGTTTTATTTTTATCTATATCAGTTATTATTAATCATAAATGTCTTCTTGGTTCCTCTGACAGCAGACGCATCATCAACCTGAGCCCAGTGATGGTGATCCCCGAGGAGCAACCCGCCCAGCCAGCGCTGCCCATCCAACCCGAGGGAATGAGAGTGGTCTGTGGCCACTGTGGCAACACCTTCCTAGTATGTAAACCTGCAAATACAACCATCCTCAGTCAGGCACAGGCTTGTTAATGCAGAATCTCATTGCTGTGCTGTTGTTGGTACGTGCATATATATGTAATTTTGAGAGCCTCGCCATATGTTCATGTTTACAGAAAACTACTGCAGTAAATAGATAAATTGCTGAAGGATTGTCTGCTAGCTAGTTGTACTTTATGTGGGGTCAGCTATTCATTAAAAGCACAGAATAAGACACCTGCGCGTGGCTGGCATGCATTTTCTGCATGTTTTCTTTCATTGCCTGTCTCACCAAACATCCTGAGTACCTCTTGACTGAGCATGGCCGCACCTTTCCACACAAGTTTCCCTCTCCAACATGCTCTCAACCTGCTTTTTGCAGAGTTTTCTAATCTCGGATAAAAATGGCTTCCTGCCACTCTTTGTTGATGTTACTATCAGTGCATTTGACATGTTTGGGTTGAGTGTAACATGTCACACATGCATTTAATATTTCACATAAGCAAGGTTATGTACACAACCTGAGCCATTGAGTCAGTGTGACACAGACTCGAATGTAAGAAAAATAAAGTCAGTGCTGTTTTCCTCTTAACATCTGCACATTGCTGCTTGCGGCATCTGCAGGGCAGTGAGGACGCCAGGACATCACAGCCTATGTCTGGTCTCCCCAGTGATGGCTCTCCACCAGCACAACAACAGGTTGAGAAAGCTGGTCTTACTGGTGGACTTATTAACAACAGCCTAACCCGCTCCAGCTCAATTTGTGGCCTTATTTACTCTGACTTTGTGAACATCTGGCTTTGAGCAGAGCTTTGATCAATTAAAAAAATAAAATGTAGAAGTCTGCACTAAATTGTTTCTTTTTTATTGCCGCTTGCTTACCTTTAGGTATTTAATTTATTGTTATTTCTAACCTGAAGCCAGATGTTGTCACATGTTTAACTTCACTGTGACCCTTGAATTAATATGATTTGGAGTGATTTAACACTAGATGAAATATCAACTAACGAATCATGACTCTGTGTGCTAACTTAGCAAGAGTGCAGGATAGATTTAGACGGTTCATTAAAACTGTTTCAGATCATTTCCAGTAAGCCTTTTGCTGATTTGTTGTTTCTAAAAAGAGTAAGATTGTAGTGTTTCGTTTCATTTCTGTGAGCCTGTGCATGCGTGTGTGTCTCCGTGCGTGTATACGTTTTCTTTGTGCCTTAAAATGAAAATGCTGATTTGTTTTTATTCCCTCACAGTGGATGGAGCTTCGATTTAACACGCTAGCCAAGTGTCCCCACTGCAAAAAAATGTGAGTCCATCAAACTTTCACACAGAGTTCCCCTTCACACAGTCGCTTTAAGTGGATATCTGCATGTTTATATTCTGAATCAGTAGGCACAAAGCAAGTTTTGATGAATGGGAGTTTTCTGGTTTCTGCATGCTTTAGTAGCATAAAGCTGAACTTTGGAGTAGGCTGTTCATGCAGAGAGCAAAAGAACAGTGGCATTTGCCAAAATGCAATCTTTAATCTTTAATGAGATCTGTGCTCACAGCCCAGCACTGTGCAGCTTGACAGGACCCATCCAGAAAACACCAGAACTAACAGGTTCACCACTGGAGCCCCATTTTCTTCACAGAGGAGAGCAGATTCACACTGAGCACACATGACAGATACCACGCCATCTCCAGACTCTTTCACATGTGTATATTTATCTTCATAATGAATGACTGAATTAGTCTTTGTTGCGGGGTGAGGAGGAACACCATGACATTCCCATACATCTCACCAGCATGTACTGGGCTGATCCTGATGGGATATACCTGGAACACCTCACCTTGGAGCCACCCAGGAGGCATCCTGGTTAGACAGGAGTAAAAAAACAAAAAATTAAACAAAAAAGCTAAAAAAACCCAAACAAACAAGCATAAAAAATAAAAGTAAAATTCAGGAAGGAAAAAACATTAAGTTCACTTTCCTTCAAATAGACAGCTGTACCAGTGTCTTCACAGCTGGCATCGGTAACAGTTCTAAATCTTATGTTTGATAAACCCAAAGTTTGATAGTTTCTTGTGGTTTTCTTTCTATTATCGCAACTGTTGTTGGCATTTGGTGCCATACAAATAAAATTAAATTGAATGAACTCATTCATGCTGTACGTGAACATCAGCTGTGCTTCAGAGCTCTTCTGCTGAGAAAGTAAACTTCCCATGTGTTTCTCCTCATTTCTGCTGTGTGCTGCACAATGCAGTTCTGCTTTAAAAACTACAGTAAGTTTAAAAAAAAAAGTGTTAACTACATTTTATTTTCAGATGTCAGTTTCCAATTTAATCTGGGAAAATTGTCAGGTTAGCCCGTTAACTATGAAAATGTCTGGTTTGTTTTTTCCAACTTCATGATTTTGCAGTTACAGAAAGGAAGCCACTAATTTTACTTCATGTCTCATAGAAAGAAGTACTGCAGTCTGCTTTTTGTTAACATGCATTTCATTATATTACAATTGCATTGTCTAATGCAGCTCCTGGGATGCAGTTTTAGTGCTTATGATAAAGCCAGAGGAGGTTTACAGCTCTGCAGTTAGTCAGCAGAGCAATGGTGACTTTTACCACCGTTTCCTGTTGTGTTTGTTGACATCCTTCTGTAACTGAGTTCCTGTGGCTCTTAAACACTTCCACTCTGCAATAGCATCACTTACAGCTAATTGTGAAATGTCTGGAAAGGAAGAAATTTCACAAACTGACTTGTTGCAACTGTGACATCCTATTACAGCACCGCGCTCTGAATTTAGAGCAACTCATTCTATCACAAATGTTTGTAAAGGCAGACTTTTGTCCACATAATGTACACAGAAACATTGAAAACAACGTGCAAGCTGAAAGTAACAACTTTCAGGAGCCTACACCTTTACATTTGATTGTAAAATAAAAATAAAAAGAACCCATTAATTAGCTGCCCCAAACAGGAGATTATAGAAAATAACTTTGAATTGCAGGATGCCCTTCCTGATGCAACCCCAGACGCATTCATGTCTCGTCCCAGCATTGAACCAGACATCCTATGCTTCTTAAGCAAATGTGTAAACCACTACACTATAGAGCCAACTAGTGAACACATGCAAATCGGTATGATTCATTATATCCACTGAGCTTTGTAAAATCTAAATTTGGTCAGCAGAGTGAAGCTGAGGCTGTGTGAAACACTGTACAGTGTTGTTACACTAAAATCCCCACACAGCTTACTTTAAAGTTTTTTATCTTTATTTATTGGAGAAGTAATTCACCATGAAGGCATACTGCACATGAGAAAAAGCAGAATAGAAATATAACATAGGCATTTCACTTCTGTATAGGCATTAACAATTCGCCATGTAGAGCTGTGGTCTAGTATGACTCAACTATGAAACCAAACACTTGAATACCAGGAGAAAAAAAAGAGGGCGCGGGGTGATCGTGGCTCAAGAGTTGGGAGTTCGCCTTGTAATTAGAAGGTTGCCGGTTCGAGCCCTGGCTTGGACAGTCTCGGTCGTTGTGTCCTTGGGCAAGACACTTCACCCGTTGCCTACTGGTGGTGGTCAGAGGGCCCGGTGGCGCCAGTGTCCGGCAGGCTCGCCTCTGTCAGTGCGCCCCAGGGTGGCTGTGGCTACAATGTAGCTGCCATCACCAGTGTGTGAATGTGTGTGTGAATAGGTGGATGACTGGATGTTTAAAGCGCTTTGGGGTCCTTGGGGACTAGTAAAGCGCTATATAAATACAGGTCATTTACCATTACCTATTGAATTTATGTTTAAATTCACTGAGATGCAAAGGTTTAGAGGACTGGATTTGCAGTTCTTGGAAGGAGGAGGGGAGGTAAGCAAGGCTAATCTAGACGTGTGACACGTATTAAAGTTTGGCCTCACATGTAATGTTAGTGGTATGAGGGTCACAGGTCTGAGGAGAGGAGGAGGGGTCACCTCAGAGAGGTTTTTGTCCTAATGAGATGATGCAGACAGTGATGGTGAGATAAGCAGCAACTATAACATGACACTACTTCTACCCTTGTTTTCTGTGAAGTTGTCTCGTACAATGCTTTGTTCTATGTACTTCTTTAGGTCGGTGAACTTCATTTATTATCTCTGTGCAATACTTTTACCACTCATAGCTTTTCCAAAAATTCCTATCATCGTCTCTCTCATCCTAAAACCCCCTTTCCTTCTTTATTACAGACATAAAGGCTGAGCTAAATATTTTCCCTTAATTTTCATTGAGGAACTGAAACTTCAGTTCTAGTAACACCTTTCCGAAGAGAAGTCCTCTTAATTTAAGCAGATAAAACGGTAGTAATTTCCCTCTTCTGTCTACATTACTAAAATGAAGAGATGGTTCTAGTTCACTGAATAAACAGCGAGTAAAAGAAACAGGGGATGTGAATGCAGTAGAAAAAAAGTAGAAGGCAGTAAATCAGGTGACCAGGCACCCCTAAGCCATCTGAATGCCAGTGATCCCTGAAGAATGCTTCAGTCCTGTCACATGAGAGGCATGTGAGAGCTGAGTGGGGGAAGGAAAGTGAAATTATAGTAAAGTTATGCCAGTCTGCTGCTTCAAAGCAGTTGAACTGTGTTTGTTTAGAGGCTGGATGGAGTGGAGGTTGTTTGGAGCTGGACATGTGACCATCCTGGAGCGCTTACAAGTGTAACTTAAAAAAGGAAGTGAGATTTTTGGCTAACAGATTTATCATCAGAGCGTGGTGAAGTAAGATCACTGGGACAATGTGTGGGGACTTCCACTGGATTACAAAATAAAAAAATAAATAAGACAGTGTAACATCTACATGTAGTCTGTATGTTTCAGTCTGTATCTGTGTGGAAACCCTCTAAATGTTTCTCCCCAATTTCTTTCTTTTCTCAATCCCTCTCTGCAGATCCTCCGTCGGCAGTGCGCTCCCTAGGAGGCGCTGTTGTGCTTATATAACTATAGGAATGATCTGCATTTTCATTGGAGTGGGTTTAACAGTAAGTACACTTTGATCAGTTTGTGCAGATACTATCCAAGTAAGTAAGTCACTCTTTTGACAATGAAAATGGGGAAAAAAGCCACCAAGTTAGCTCAGTACAAGCAAGATGTAACTGTAACTGAGCTAAAGTGAAATAAGGTAAAACAACAAAACGTCACAAAAAGAGAATCTGATCTGCATCATATTTCATGACACAGCAGTAGAGACTTTAAACTCTAAACCACAATTCACTCGCTCCATGTGGAGGTGCTTGAGGACGAGTCTTCAGCAGCATCACCAAGTGGGGTTAACAAATTTCTGCAGAAAATGTCAGTAATCCTTCCAGTTGTCAATGAAAAACTTCAGTGTAGAGCATTTGTATTTATCTGTACTTTATGAATAGGAGTAAAGATCTGGAAATTTCCATCAGACACTGGTGTTGTGACCTGAGAAAATGAAAACTGTATATATGTTTTAGAGATGACGAGAAAGATAAAAGTGACAAATCTACAAAACATCCAATGCATTTCCAACCACGCCTTGTTCAGTGTTTCACAGAAACATATTTAATATAATGAGCTTATACTTTTGCATTTCAGCTGAGGCATGGTCTCACAGGCTGGCCAAAAAAAAACGATTGTCCGGTTGGCTGCAGTAGTCTTTTGTCTTTGGCTGGGTGATATTAGTTGCAGAAGGTGCAGCACCAAAACTATCCTTTTCACTGCTTTGGTTGCTAACAGATTGCAGCAGTTTCCTATAGTTTGTTTGGAAGATGCCAACTTATCTGTCGCTAACCAACTACTGAGTGGTAGTGAAATTCGCAAAGGTGCTGTACAAATCATAAATGGACACCATTCCCCTTGAAAGTAAAAGTTGTGCCTTATCAGAAGGCACCATGTTTCAAAACATGCAGCTTTTACTGTGAGGGTAACTGTGTCTGTTTTCAGGTTTCCCAGTTTCACTCCTGCTTAGAAAGCAATTAGCAAGGATTTGCAAATAACTTGATAAACTACGAGCAGCCACGGCAAAATACAAGTGACCAAAGCAAACACAAGGAGGATTTCTGTGCAGGGAATACACTTTTCCCCCTAGCGCCTGCTTGCTGCCAGGCAGTCGCCCACTGATCTCTAGCCTTTTATGACTGGAGCCTAATCTGACAAAATGCATATAAGGGGATCTTTTTAAATACAAATCGATGATCTGTATTTCTATAGGTGTAACTATGATTTCCTCCATGCTGTCTTCTTCCTCCCTCCCCCCATTATGTGTAATTATAGGTTGGCACTCGGGACTTCGCCAGACGTTACAACGCCACCTACGTGTCCTGGGCATTTGCCTATCTGCTGGGCCTCATCTGTCTGATACGTGCCTGCTACTGGGGAGCTATCAAAGTGAGCTACCCAGAGAATAGCTTCGCCTAGAGTGATCAGAACATGTGCACGGCTGGAAGAACAAAACTTCACTTTTAGTTTTTTCATCTTGCTCAGATTTCAGTCATGTTCGGCGAAGTGGAACATCTGTAGAGTGAATGGACAGGAGTTTGTTCAAGAAAGAGTATGCTGGTGATTTTTCTTCATGTTCCGTTTGTGTCTGGAATATTTTTGACTTACTGAACAAACCTACTGCCTGTCAGTCAGTCCTGTACCGGTCCACTGAGACTCAAATCCAGTCCAAGTCTCCTAAAATCGTTCAAAGTACAGAATTAAGAAATTGAAATGATTTTTCTTGATGAATGCCTGAATTAATTGGTTCACATGCTGATTTTAGAAATGATAGTGCAAGAGACTGGCTGGGTTTAGGATTTTTTTTTTTTTT